TTAGAATGCGAGAATCCTGATATGGTAGTGATGAGCATAATACAAATACCTGGATAGCTGGCCAAAAGTACCATACAGTATTGTAGGGAAGCATCATGGACAACACTGAAAGGAAGGAGAACTCCACTCCATTTCCAGCTTTGTCACAGACTTCCTTTTTAACTTTGGAAAAATCTGCACCTTCAGTTTTCCCATTTGTTAAATAAAAATATCTATTCACATTTTGGAAGGTGCTTCAAAATATGACTTTATAAACTTATAGGTGTGTGATAGTTTGATCCAAGTAACTAAAACTGAAATGAATACATTTATTGGTGTAGAAAGCTAGTGCACCGATCACCATAGTGCCTGGGTGTCTTTTGTAACAATTCCTCTGAAAATGTGAATGGATTTACAGGAAATTGGCATAAATTAGGGGATAGATTTTTCCACCCCTTACTATCACCCCATTGTATTCCCTTTGTTTTTAGAACAATTCTAGTGGAAATTAAGGTAGTGCTCTTTTTTTACATTTTATTCAGGTATTTGAAAAGCAACTGCAACTGGCTGTGTCCTTAAGGAAACCCTTGGTAATACACTGCAGAGAGGCTGATGATGATCTGCTGGGGATCATGAAAAAGTTTGTGCCTAAAGACTACAAGATACACAGGTAGCTGTATTTGCTAAATTAAATTCTGTCATTCATTGCTGGATATCCTATAATTAAATCAGAAATTATACCTACATTAGTAAAATAACAAACCAGGAGATATATGGAACTGTTCAGACCAGGTGATGCTTTAATTGAAAAAGAAATAGGGAGGTAGCTGGATCGTCAGTGCTTAAAATTATGGAAGCTTTACTGCAGTAGTAATGTTTCATGGCTTCTTAAAAGAATTCTGAGGATGCCTTAGGAATCGACAGGAAGTGATGCAGCAGAAGTTGTTCTGATATAACTGTGTTGTGTTCTGAAGCTATGAATTTGACTCATTCTGAAGGGGACATTTAGTGTCTGGAACGGGCATTGTCAATTTGAAAATGGAGGTAAAAGTACTGTTGGCTGTTGCACCTCTCCCTGAATCTACCTGCCAACTTGTGACTCTTACAATCACACTTTCCTATCCTTTTTTTAATTTTAATTTTAAAATCTGTTTCCTCCCCTTACTACTATGTAAGAGATCTACACAAAAAGAGGAAACTGACTATAAAGGGGAAACCATTGAACTGATTATACCCAAACTTGTATTTACACACAGTGTAGCTAAATCCAGGGGAAACAAAACCATTTTCTCTAATCTCTGTTGGTTCTAGTAATTTTAAGTGTTACTACTGTTAGTTAAATAAAAGGTCTTCAGAAACAAGTAATTTATTTAAATAGATCAGACTTCTCTTCTGTTAAAACTTTTTTGTTTTTTTAATAAGAGGTCAAACCTCTAAAATCATGAATGAAACCAGAATTGTAATGCTGGGAATATCTAAATTGCATTTTAATGTGATTGGAAGTTCCCAGCTGATGCATGATCTGTAGGAATGCATTGCGCGCTACACAGAACTAAATGAACAATCTTAACAGATGTTTTTATTCTAAATTGTTGAAGAATTCTACCTTGTGGCAGCAACCATGTTAAGTATCATCTAGCTCCTGTTCGTTGCTTTGACTGCTGTGCGGCTTGCCCCAATCCTTGCAGTCTTTTCCCTGTCTTTTCTACAATAATCCCACCCTTCCTGACCCCTTCAATTTTGAGTCAATCCCCATTAAATACTGAAACATTAGACAGGATTGGGCTAATCCAAGAAAACTGGATCCTTGAATTCTTATCCCTGAGTCTGTCTCCTATTAGAAATTTGCAAAACTGTTACCTTGGAGAATGACCAAAGTTTTCTGTTTACCCTTAGGCATTGTTTTACTGGTAGTTACGATGTCATAGAGCCATTGCTAGAGCATTTCCCAAACCTTTCTGTGGGATTCACTGCACTGCTGACTTACTCATCTGCCTTTGAAGCCAGAGAGACTATAAGAAAAATTCCTTTGAACAGAATAATTGTAGAAACAGATGCTCCCTATTTCCTTCCTAGGCAGGTAAGTATGTTTCTAGAAATGCTCAAAACATTCTTTTCTGCCCATGGTGTTAATGTTGCATTGTCAGAAGTGTGATAGGACATCTGCAAGAAGGAATGGATTAGAATGGGTTGGCACCCTTGGGCATGCAGCCCATCAGGGTAATCCGCTGGCAGGCCGCGAGACGTTTTGTTTACATTGACCATCTGCAGGCATGGCTCCCCACAGCTCCCAGTGGCCGCGGTTTGCCATTCCCGGCCAATGGGAGCTGCAGGAAACAACAAGGGACGTGCTGGCTGCTGCTGCCTGAAACTCCCATTGGCTGGGAATGGCAAACTGCAGCCACTGGGAGTGCGGGCGGTCGTGCCTGTGGACGGTCAACGTAAACAAAATGTCTCGTGGCCTCTAGCAGATTACCCTGATGGGCCGTGTGCCAAAGGTTGCCGACCCCTGGATTAGAATATTGCATTTGTAGGTCTGTTTTCTGCTTCAAATATTCAAAGCATGTGGATCTGGAAGCAAGTTCTAATATGTCTGGTAAGGTGTTCCCTTTACAAAGTAGCAGTGATCTAAGCCTCAGATTTGAAATTATAGACTGTTTAGAACCACAGGTTCAGATCTTAGCTGGGCCAACTCATCCCTTTGTTCATCTGTAGTCAACATACTTAATTCTCTACATACAGGACTTGGAAAAACAGAGGTCCTTTCTGCTTTGCATGAATGGAGAGAGATTTACTCCAATGTCTCTGGCCAATAGTTTCCTTCTCCCGTTGTGCAGTTTGTTTGCTGGCTGCTGCCCTTATAAAGAGCTCTGGGATGGAAGAAACACTGGGAACATCAAATAGTATTATTGTTGAAAGACACTTTCTGAAAAATGTCAGTGATCATATTTAGAGGCTTGAAGTGATAACTCTTGACTGGTTCTGTATATTGCAGACAGGAGGAAGTGACCTACACCATTCTTAACTTTTCCCTTTCATTAATGTTTGTGCAGGTTCCCAAAAGCATATGCCAGTATTCTCACCCAGGATTAGCCCTGCACACAGTGAGAGAGATTGCCCGTCTGAAGGACCTGCCACTCTCCCGTACCTTGGCTGTTCTAAGGCAGAACACCAACCACATGTACAATCTATAGGATGGCGCTAGCAAATGTGAGAAGAGCAAGGTCAGGAAAGCTACTGTGAAATGGTGACAAACCCTTCAAGTATATTATGTCTTCTGTGGCCCCAAAATGTTATGCTGCAATCCAACTTGGAGATGATGGTTAGTATTAAGTGCTCATGACTTGCCATCCCTACTCCTCCCAAAAGTGTTACACATTCCCTTTTAATCTATATCCCTTTGCATCTCCTTTTCATTCTCTACTGGTCCATTGTCTCCTTGTGACGTACCACAAGAAAGGGTGTTGATGTCTTTGTTGGGTAAATGGTTTTTCTTGTGGAGACAAAGAGACTCTGCTGTGGTAAATATTATGGGATTTTATTCAGCTTTATTTGTATTAGCCTGTTCAAGAGTGAACAGCCTATAATTATTGAGCAGATGTAGATTACTCGAGCGTAGATAGAGCCCAAAAGGTGAGCAATGATCTTGGCTTCTTAAAGCACCTAATTGCTGAGGCTATACAGAAAAGAGTATGTATCAGAGCAGAGAATTTGATGCATAACTGTGCACAGACTTCCTCATGCCACAGAATGAAAACATACCCAAAATTGTTAAGTGTTGTTTGTGTACAAGTGCCTTTCTTTGGATAAAGTAAACAGCATGTAGGTGCCAAATAAGCTTTTAAATTTTTTCAGCAAAATGTTAAAATTACCAGAGTGTTGAATAGCCTCGAAAAGACATGAGTGTGTTTTGGCTACAGTGAGGTTTTAAGAGAACCAAAGTGGAGTATGAACATAGAAGCCCACTGATCCCACTTTTGATAGATCCTGTAGTATGCAATTGAATGTGAAAATCCATCCTGAAGGTTCTTCTATGGGGTTGTGACCCAACTGTGTTATCGTGAAGAAAAATGCCTGTGTGACAGAAATGCAAAGCACTTTGGTGAATATACTTCTCAAAATAAGCTTTTTGTAAAAGTAAGTCTAATTTTAAACTACTTCAGGCCAGTTTAACTGCTTTCAGAGGGCAATTTGACAAATGACAATGACTTAATTTTTCTGTAATATAGGTTACTTTTAATGTACCTTGAAACTACAGTTGAAACTTTTTTAAAGCTTATTTGTAAATAAAGATCTCTGAGAAAGAGATGCTGTTAAATTGTTGTTCGGTTTATACAGAACTATGCTAAGTTTTTGTAGATTGATAAATGGAAGAGTTCCATTCTAATAATCGGGCAACCCCTCCAAACTAATAAATGACACTGTGAAGGTGTTCAGTTACGCCTTTCCACTTTGTACATTGGCCACATGTGTATGCTAGTATCAAGCAGGTGTTGTGGCCTCATGTTCTGTACACAGGTTGTTAAATACATAATTTTCTAAAAGTATTACTCCAAATATTATTGTAAGTGCACATAGCCTGTCTTAAATCAACAGACTGAAATACTTGAATGTGAAGTTGACCAGTATTTCCACCACAACTGTATGTCTCAGTAGGTTTGGCTATACCACAGCCCCCCTCATGGATAACTGCCACTTGTGAATTTACTAATCTTTTTGACAAAGCAACAGTTTAAAAGCTTTCATGTTGTAAAGGGTATAATTTGCTGCTCCCCTTCCTCTTTAGGACCACTAAGGAGACAATATTGTGTCTATTGAAATTAACTGCAGAATTCTCATTTACTTCAGGGGATGCAGGATAGGGCCCTTTGTAATGGATGTCAACATATGACTTGTGTAATTAACTAGGCTCTTAAAAGATAACTTCATATGCACATCCCTTTATCATATACATAGGTGTATAATGGAGACTGAAACTTCCATCTCGTGCCACATGTATATAGTATCCATAAACAAATGACTGCAGTTTCAACACTAGCTTTATTTTCTGCTGCAAGAAGCACATGGTAGACTAACACAGTTTATCCTCACTTTCAGAACAGGTAGCTTCAGGCGCATAGTTTTGAAAGGTAAGAAAACCATTTAGACTTCAGTGTGATTGACCTTGCTTGCAGCTATCTGTCTACCATATCTATACTACTTGCAATCTCATCCAAAGACCTGTTACACAACAAAATGTCCTTTTTAAAACTACAAAATGTTCAGCTTTATGCATTTGTCTTTTAACACATGCTATTATCATCCATTGCACAATGTAAAGCAAGATTTAAAGCAATCCAAGCCAATGAGCAGAATTTTGTTGTACTCTAATCAGTTTGTAACATCTTCACGTTTCAACTTGTGTCAGTTTTGGGTTTCTGAAAGGGAAGAGGGTAGAGATTTTAATTTTTACTTTTTTTTGTTTTTACTGTTGAATTATTTAAGTAGTATTAACAGGTTTAGACATCCTTGCCATATAAAGTTTAAACAAAACAATCGATGTTGACAGAGACATACAAGAATACAGATCTTTCTAACAGGATATTATCATATTACAGAGTGAAATGCATAACATCTGTGGTTTTTATTAAATTGGGTGAAATCTCTGATTACTCATTTAACAGACCAAATTAGGTGTTCTGGGTTTTTGCAGGTGAATGTACTCTTGAGTATTGAATAAAAGGTAACCAAAAATCTATGTATCTATTTGTCCTCTGTCTGTTTTGCTGGGTATGTAACTCGTGTTAATTTTTCCATTAGTTTTTAATATTTATATTAGAGTAGTTCCCAGAAGCCGAACCAAGATCAAAGTCCTGTTGATGTAATCCCTGTCAGAAAAGTTTATTGTATGTGTTACTAAGCAGCATGTGAAAAGTGAGGGAGAGGAAGACCTATACACAGTTCTATGTATACTTGCTGCTATTACATAATTATAGTGGCTGACTTCTTTGAAGAGACTTGGCCCTGGTCTACACTGCGGGGGAGAGGGCGGTCGACCTAAGATACGCAACTTCAGCTACGCAAATAGCGTAGCTGAAGTCTGCTTACCTAGGTCGACTTACCTGGCTGTGAGGATGGCGGCGAGTCGAGTGCTGCCGCTCCCCCATCGACTCCGCTTCCGCCTCTCGCAAGCTGGAGTTCCGGAGTTGACGGGGAGCACGTTCGGGGATCGATTTATTGCATCTAGACAAGACATGATAAATCGATCCCCAATAGATCGATCACTACCCGCCTATCCGGTGGGTAGTGAAGACCTGCCCCTGGAAAACATGAGGCTTGAGAAGGGATTTGAAAGAGGACAGAATAAGTGGCCTTGCAGATCCATCTGTTCAAGCTTAAGGAGACGCAGTAAAAAGCATAAAGAAATCTTTAACGGGAATGGACAATCAGACTATCAAAACTGGCATTGCTAGCAGAGTGGAGAGGGTGAAGGGCCAACACAATAAAAGAGCAGAGAGAAGCACCAGGGCCTTGAAGGTGAGGATAAGACACACTTGGTCTTGATGTGGTGGAATGGAGAGACAGCAAAATAGTATATGTGACAATTAAAATGAGTTTTGTTTGCTTTTCCATTGCTAATGCATAGTTTTGGTCAGGGTGAATTTGATTTAAATCACTAGTCAGGAAGACTCTATTTAATCATGGGCTTTATACATAAAAGTGCATTCTTCCTGGTTGTTATAACCTTAATACATATTCTTCACAACTCAGAGATAGATGTAGGTTTCATTTTTAGAAGGTACACACTATACATTTTTAAACAGTGATTTATTTGGAAAACTTTTCAGATTAGTTTTACAGCTATATCAGAAAATGAATAGTGGTTTGGTTATTTCAATTACCAAAGGTAATTGAAGCAGATAGTTCACCTCCCAATTAATTCATAAATATCTCCAATTCAACAGGTTAATCATTAATATTTGGAGGATTTTCTTGCCATGCTGTTTTAGGAGAACATAACCAGACAGACATTTAAATTGTTTTATTTAACTAAAACAACAACGTTAAGTATTCTGGATTTTTTTTCTTCAACAGTGAATATACCATATCTTAACAAAAGAAGCATATGTCCCTCGCTTCTCACATTTATCTCTAGACTTCTTCTCCTTGCCCAGATCTATTCCACCCCCAACAATCTTCTATTCATTGAACTTTTTGAAACTTTTCACTTTTAGAGAGAGGTAAGGGATTGACTCTGTGTACACAAATTTGCAGAGTGACAAAGTTGAGGTCTGTTATTTCTCACCTCTATATTTATTTTAAAACATTTTTTAGTGTTAAGCTTGTTCTCTGGAGACACAAATCCACAGTTTGAGAACTGGAAAACTAAACATCTATAATAGTGCTCAGTCTAGAAGATACTGAGGTCCAGTGGGTAGATAGAAAGATTAACTTAAATCTATACAGAAGCCTGTGAAACCGCATAAGATTGGGTCCCTAATCCATGAACTGTTGGAACTCATTTACAAAACTCTTAAACGTTACGTGAATATATTCTCATACTATAGAATTAGAATTTATAATCCCTATTCCATGATGAGAGATCTTTGAGCTATAATGGATCTTAATTAATACTATCTTTAGATTGCATTTTTTTGATAAAATGCTTTTTGAGGAAAAAACCTATTTAAATAAAGATTTTTTTTAAAAAATGATCTTTAAAAAAATCATTGATTTTTATCCACCCTGGTTTTGGTCTCTTTCACTGCCAGAGAGATGAAGATGTTGGCTTGTGGGAGGCATAAAAAAACCTGGTTTCAGAGTAACAGCCGTGTTAGTCTGTATTCGCAAAAAGAAAAGGAGTACTTGTGGCACCTTAGAGACTAACCAATTTATTTGAGCATGAGCTTTCGTGAGCTACAGCTCACTTCATCAGATGCAAAAAATCCTGAGATTTTCAGAAGTAATCTGTGATGTTAGTTGCTTCTATTTTTGGATTCCCAAATAAAACAATGAGGGATCCTATTTGCCCAATCTGAAAATCAGGTCCCTTTACAGAGTGTCACGTTGAACACCCAAAGTGGCTCTTGAAATCTTGGCCCAATGTTTTATATATTAAGTTATACAATACCCTTTACTTCCAGCAAAAGTTCTTGGAACACTCTTCTCCACCCACCAGTCCTGCACAGAGGAGTTGGGATGTGGGAGGGAGAAGTACCTAAAGTGTCCTCTGCAAGAATGTCCTCTAGGATCTTCTCCAGCACTTGTCCATACTCCTGGTATTGGTCTTCTGTTATCTTGACACCAATTTCAAAGGGAACATTAAGCTAATGAAAACACCAAACCAGAAGAGCTCAGTATAACAGTTTCCTTAAAGAGTTCCATTCTTTTCTGCTATTGGGTGAACAGACTTTGCAGACTGATTACATTCATGGGAACAGTGTTAGCTGAGGTCTGTGAAAACGAGGAAAACTTGTTCCTGCTAAGCACCCACTTGACTTGTGGTTGAAATAACTATACACATGAGAAACAGCAATTACCCTGTGTATAGCTATTGTAAACAAAATACAGCAAAGTGTGAGACTACTGAAGAAAGTCTACAAAGTGAAATTTCATTGTACATGTATCTTGAAATGGAAGTAAATCTTCAGTAGGAGGTTGCAGTTTGACCAGTTGCAATAAATTTTTAAACTGCTTTAGATTTTTTTTAAGATTAGCTATGGTTACCATTTTCAAGTCCTTTTTCTAACTGCTTCTCAAATCAGATATCCGTGTAGTTTTGATTTGTACCACGTTTGTGTATCACAATCTATTCATTTTTTATTATGTGGTCATATGCAAAACTAACCCTCTTAAAAACTGACTGTAAAATACAAACCTTAATTTCTATTCCATTGTCTCCTTCTATCTGCCTTGCATCTGCATCCAAAAGTCCTTCTGCAGCTCGGCGGTTTAACTTTGTTGTATGCTTTTTTGGATCCTTTCGTTGCTGGAAAGTAACCAAAACACAGTGTAAATACTGTATCCATAGACAAACAATTAGGCCTTGTCTACAGCAGAAAAATTAGAATCCATAATTCACCATATGGGCAGCTCCATTAGGTGGGAGCTGTAGCGTAGACAGGGTTTTTTGTCTACGCTGTTTTCTTACCTTGCTGTAAGCAGACAACAGTGGTAAAGTCATCAAAGTCTTGTCTACGCTACAACATCCCCCTTTGTTGCCACCACTGCAGAATTGTATAATTTTCCTACTGTGGATGCAGCCCTATTGGTTTATGTTATTCATCTGGGAATTGGGATAAACCTTTCCTTTGGCAGAACTTGTACCTTCTTAAGTTGAGGCAGTATTTTGTTAGATTTTTCTGAGTATTATAAAAAAATATTTTGTCTCAAGAAGTAGTTTTGAAAAGAGGGAAGAAGAGTAAAATATACCTAAATTTTACCTGTGTGTTTTGATATTCGGGGCTTAAAAAACTAGATCCAGCCATAATAGTCTCTGTCCAGAGAATGCAGATAAGGAGAATTCCCAGCATAGTGCTTCTGAGAAACATGAGTGACTTTGGGCATAGACTGTATCAAACCTGAAAACTTAATAAAGATAGGACAACTTAGTATGCTTTTTATTGACACTTTTATTTCCTTGAGTCCAGATTCAACCTGCAATTTTTCATAAACTGATTTCAGATAAATTTGTAATGTTTACTAAAGGTACATGTATATGAGGTAGTTGGTCGTCTTACAGAGATCCTGCTTTTATAGGTGAGTTTATTACTTTAATAAGAAATAAAATTGTATGAAACTTACCTTATTTCCCTCCACAAGTAGAAAAATATAAAACTGAAGGAGAGGAAGTGTGTAGGAAAACAAAAAAGGCAGTCTCAAAGGTTACCTACCTGAGGTTTCTTGTTCATCATATGGCTGCTGCTGTTAAGCATTTATATAGTGCCTGGAGTATTTGTTTTGTGATAAAACACCTTTTCAAATGCAATCCAACATGTATTTGGAATTCCTTGGAAACCGCTCTTTTCATATCATTGTGACAAAATCAACAGAAAGTGAAAATAATGCATAGATCTGTTGCTGCATTAGATTTTCTGTGGGCTATGGTAGTGACTCTTTAAAGAAAAGAGCCTAATTTAAAGACTTTTCCATTTACTTAAAGATTAAATAGTGTTTTATTATAGAATAAAAGAATACTTTTATGCATATTTGGACTGGTATAGTTCAATGGAGTGTATCTTAAGATATAAAGAAGCTATGTTTGTGACCTATAATGGAAAATGAAATTGAGAGCTGTATGTTTTGTTTTAAAATTCCCTGCTGGTGGTCTTTAGCTGTGTTCTACCTTATCAAATGTTGCCTTGCTTTGTTTTGCTGGAGGGGTCAAACTTGAAGCAGCTTTCAGCCCTCGATAGCTGGGGTGGGAGGGTGTGTCTCTTTTACTTTTTCAAAACTGGAACGGGATTTAGAGAGGAGGAATAATAGTAATCCAAGGCCTGGTAAAACCTCTCACATGAAGAGAAATTGAAAAGACTGATTTCATCTCCTTTCTTCAGGAGAAACATGGGATACGATAAAAGCACATGGTTTAGAGACTACAGAGCTAGAACTGTAGCTCTGTCTCCTAACACAAGAACTAGAGGACATTCAATTAAATTTAAAGGTGGGATATTCCAAATCAATAAAAGGAAATACTTTTTCACATAATGTGTAATTAATCTGGAACTCTGACATTGGAAGTCATTATGGTCCAGAATTTAATTAAATTTGATAAAGGGATTGGATATTTATAGGGATAAAGAATAGACAGAGTTGTCATAATTAGTGACAAAAATTTGAAAGTGATGGTAAATCTCATGCTTCAGACCTTAAGCCAGTCTCTAACCTCTAGCAATCAAGGTGAATCCTGTGTAGGGGGTAGATTATTCCCCAGATGCCTTCTGGAGGATTCTGGCCACTGTCAGAGATGGGATATTAGACTAGCTGGACTACTATTCTGATCCGTGGTGGGTTTTCAGAAAGCCTTTGACAAGGTCCCTTACCAAAGGCTCTTAAGGAAACCAAGTAGTCATGGGATAACAGGAGGTCCTCTCATGGTTCAGTAACTACTTAAAAACAGGAAATAAAGGGTAGGATTAAATAGTCAATTTTCACAATGGAAACAGCATCTTTGCTGGGACCATTGCGGTTCTACGTATTCATTAACAAGCTGGAAAAGGGCATGAACAATGAAGTGACAAAATTGCAGCTGCTAAATTATTCAAGATAGTTAGTTCTAAAGCTGATGCCAAAGTTACATGGCAATATCACAAAACTGAGTGACTGGGCAATGACATGAATTGTGAAATTCAACATTGATAAATGCAAAGTAATACACATTGTATAAAGTAGGAATTATTTTTCCCCAATGACAAGTTCTAATTTAGCTGTTACTTCTCAAGAAAGGGATCTTGGAGTCACAGTGGATCATTCTCTGAAAACTTGAACTAAATGCACAGCTATGGACAAAAACACTAACAATGTTAGGAACTATGAGGAAAGGGATAGAAAATAAGGCAGAAAATATCATCATGCCACTGTAAATCCATGGTGTCCCTACACCTTCAATACTGTGTCCAGTTCTGGTCCCTCCCTTTCACAAAAGATATACTGAACCTGGAAAAGGTTCAGAGAAAGGGAACAAAGATGATCAGGGATATGGAATGGCTTCCCTATGAAGAGAGAGTGAAAAGATTAGGGCTGCTCTGCTTAGAAAAGAGATGAGTAAGGGGGAATATTGTAGAGGTTGGTAAAATCATGAATGGTATGGAAAAATAGAACTGTTTATCCTTCCCAGAATACAAAAACTAGGGGTCACCTGATGAAATTAATAGGCAACAGGTTTAATACAAACATGAGGAAATACTTTCTCACACAATGCTCCATCTGTGGAACTCATTGTCATGGGATGTTGTGGTGGCTAAAAGAATAACAGGGTTCCAAACAGGGTTCTGTGAACTAGAAAAGTTCATAGAGGATTGGTCCATCAGGGGCTATTATCCAAGATGGGCAGGGCTGCAATCTCATGCTCAGGGTGTCTCTAAACCTCTGACTGCAAGAAGCCAGGAGACCTTTTCTCACAAGTGTTTTGTCAGAAGCTGGAGTTAAATAGGGCTAAAACCTAAAAAGTTTAAACAGACTGATTAAAAAACTTCTCTCAGGTACTTAGGTTTTGCTTGTAATAATCATCCCATTAATTAATTCACCAGCAAAAAATATGTAAGATGGGTAATGGTTTTAATATAAAACAAAAACAAACTTTCACAAATAAAGGTCACAAAACTCATTTTAATGTGTCCTTTTCACATTCTGCCACAGGAGGGGGAAGGTGGGAGATTGAGAGGTTTCCACCTCACTACCAGTTTTTTCCCCTCCCCTTCTTCCTCAGGAAAAAAGTGTAAAAAAATAATTTAATTTTTAATTTCATTTATTTGTGTTCAAACATTTTGATTTTCATGTGCTGGATTTTTTATTTTGTTGTGAAGTCTTCCATAGATAAACTTTATCAAATGACATTTGTCTTAGGAAAAAATACATTTGACACAACCTCATTTTTTGATCATCTCTAACTGGAACCACCTATACATAATTGTGTATTTTTAAAGATGATGTGATAAGAAGCTGTTAGTATATAGCAGGTGTGGCCAAACCACACCTCATGAGCCACATGCAGCTCTTTCATAGTTAAAGTGTGGCTTGCTAAGGGCCCCCCTACCCCATGCCCTCAATTCTCCATCTACCAGACTGGCAGGGGAGCTTGGGGCTTCTGGCTTGCAACAGAATGGTGGGGCTAAGGGCTTCTGTCTTGCAGATATGGGGGGGTGTGTCTCTCAGGGTTTTAGCCCCACTGGGAAATGTCAGAGTGAAGTCCTACACCCCAGTAGGCACTGCCCTGCAGGGCAGGTTGTACATGTCTTGCAGCTTTTGAACTTGTGAAGGTTAGCACATGTGGCTTGAGGGTCAGTAAATTTGGTCACCCCTGGCATATAGTCCCAGATTTTCAAAGGCATTTAGGAATAGGAGTTAAGTGCCTAAATGCCTTTGAAGATCTGGTCCATAAATTTCAATTCAAGCAAGGTACTTAAAGGTGCTTAATTTTATCTACAATTCATAAGTTTAACCACAGTCTTAAACACTTTGAGTTGGGGACATAATGCCTGTACTTGCAATTCAAGATCTAGTGACCTTTAAAACTATAAACAGTCTGGACCCTAGCAGCTCCCTTAGAAAGCACCTTGCCTGTTAAGTCCCCTAATGGTAAGATTAACCAAGGCAAACTTGTTTTCATTTCTAAACCTGGTGTTGGAAAATCAGAGGTGCCCTGTGGGGTCTTTCATTCTGTGCTTGTACCTGTGGGATCTTAGGAACTTCTTCTGCCAAACTCTCTGCTTTGGATAATTCAGGGCTATGAAGGTTTTGTGTGGCAGCCACAGCACAAATAATAGTTTGAGACTTTGCAATTGGTAGCTTTATAGTCCAGTACATTTTCACTTCTAATTGGGTAAGGAGCCATGGTCCATGGCAAGGGTCCTGAATAACTTACTAATTAGGTGAGGGGCTTGGGTAGAGAGAGGTTAAAATGCTTTTGTAATAAGCAGGTGAGAATCCTAGCGGGGAAAGATTGATGGTAGAGGATCTAAAGCCATGGAGTGATGGCTATGGGATAAAAAGGTTTGCTTCCTAAAAAACAAATCCATTTGAACACCTGAGGAGTGAAGCACAGACACTGAGTGCATGTGTTTTTGCAGAGAACCAGACAACATAAAAAGGAAGAAGGTATTTTAAAATCATGTACAGGAAAAATATCACTCCCATCAGCTTTGGGTATAAGTCAGTGTTAGTTTAAAAATGGAAATACTCCTTTGCTATACTGTTTCTAAAAAGGCTTTATCTCTCATGTTCCAGCAAATATTGATCTTAGATAACTCTGCTTCTTCTCTTTGTATATGCCAACAGTGCAGCTAAACATAAAAAGGAATGTTACACACCCCAGCTCAGCTATGTAAGTGTGCAGTGTCTCTCTCTGCCATGTCTTTTCAGTGCAATTGGGAAGTAGTAAAGAAAGGAGGGCCGCTATAAACAGAAATACAGCTCAAAGACCTAGCGCAGCACCTCTTGGTGATGGAGAAAGGGTATGAAAACTGCTCTCAACTTTTTCCATCTGAAAATATCCATAATGAAACTTGTGTGATGGTAAAATATACTTCACTCCAGCAAAGGGTTAGGGTTTTAACCAAAGCCAGGTGAGCAAGCTTTAGTTGTTGAGTTTTCTTCTTAGTGCTTTCTCCCCTGATGACCCACATTACATCAAGTGAAGACCAGAGAAGATAATACTAGTAGGGCGAGATACCCAATGCTGATAGCTGCACTAGAGCATGCAAAGAGAACAAGTTTTATTCTAGTTCCTTGCTCAAGGCTTTATCAGAACTGCCACAGTCCCCCAGTTATTAAGGGCAGTACAGCATATGCCCTTGGGCACATCAGGAAGGGTCTCCAGCAGCCACCTGATGTTAATGCTGGTCACAAATCTGAGGGGTTTTTTTGCAAAAGAAAGCAACAGTAGTGGGGAATGGCTAACTGGACACTGGATAGACACTCATGGTAAAACCACTGCAAACAAAAGGCTGGGTGGCCTAGTCAAAAAGAGCACTGCAACTGAGGAGAGCTGGGTTCTAGTCCTGGTTCTGCCACTGGCCTGCTGGGTGACCTGGGGCAGGTCACTTCCCCAACTTGTGCCTCTGTTTCCCAATTTGTAAAATGGGGATAATAATACTGACTTCCTTTGTAAAGAGCTTTGAGATTTGCTGATTATGAGAGCTACATATTATTTCTCAGTTAGCACAGAACACCAGGGTTGTAACCAATAGGACTTTATTCCATTTTTATTGAAACCAAAAACCACCTGAGGTACAGTACACAAAAGTGTCTAAAAAAGAAATAGTTTAAAATTAATAGCTTTGAAGATTTGGGAAATTTTTAAATAAGAACTTTCAACCAAATGTAAAGGCAAATTGTAAAGCAATAATACCTTTGTACACTTCACTGCTCCTTTCCATATGAAGGTAGTCTCTGTGTGGTCCTTCGTCTTACCCTCAAGTTGTTTTCACTAGGTATCAGGATCGGATTCTTTTTTGGTGAAGGACTCTGGCAAGTCTTTAGGGTACTTGAGTGGGGAGAGCACAGCTCAAGCTGAAAGCTCTCCGAGCCCTCCTCTGAAGAAGGGGATGTTGAGCCTTGGTCAGAGCCTTTCCACCAGGAGAGCCACAGCTCAAGTTTCAGTACTTATCTGTGATGTCCTCAGTTGAGTTAACCAAAGTCCTCCAGCAAAAAGAACAAGTCAGACCCTGATCATGTAGAGGAAGGGAGGTTCTGATTACACATCAGAAAGGAACTGCATAGGGCACAATATTTTGCTCTACAGTTCATCTTCAATTTCAGAAAACTGACATTAAGGCTGATGATCAATACTGCGTTTGTAGCTTTTACCATTAACGGTTACAGGATGTTCATCAGATTTTCATATATCTAGAAGGGTCATATAAATCATGTTAAGTGATTAATCTCCTTGCATTGCAACTAGTGTGCTATTAAATCCATCTGTCATTGTTCGTTCTGCTGACCCTCTGTAATAGCAGACACTGCTCCTTGGCCCTTATTGACATCGCTGATGCACACCCACAGTCCGTCTACTGATTCCTTCCATAAAGTGACCTGAAAACAGATCAGGAAGGAGAAGTATTAGCCTTAGTAAAATACCAGTACTCTTCCCCTCCCTTCTTTTGGAGTTCACTGTACACCACATGGTCTTTCCCCACCATTGTTCGTTTCATACACTTTTTAAAAACACCTCTGCATATTGCTGAGTCCAGTCATCTCTTCATATGATCACGCCTAATGATAAAAGGTTCTTCATAATGCTCTCAACCCAGACAATGACTGACATCCTAATTCATAAGTTCTGACAGTTATAACTGCACAAGGAAGGGATGGTATGTTAATATCCTACATAAGACACTAACTGATTCCACTGCCATCAAACAATACTGGACCGCAATTCTAATTTCCATACCCCAGAAAGCACTGCAGTTTGTCAGTCCTAAGTAGTTGAACAGGAGTTTGGCCTTTCTGATGAAGAGAACAGGAAAGGTAATGTACAAGAAATAGGTAGCACTAGAATACTTAGGATAAGGAGGTTTGAAGATAGGAAGACAGACTTAAAACACCTCACTTAGATTCACGTGTGACTGGTAATGTGAAAAAGGAAACCTAATACAAGAGACTGAATTCCCAGATCAAGGTAGTCCTCTCTGTGTGATGCTACTGCTGACCATCTCAGTTAAGTCAGGGTAGCTGGTTAACTGACCAGCAGAATCTGGACAGTGCAATTCTCCAGAATAAATTCTAACTAACTACACCCCTACTTAAAGTGAATGTACACTGGAAGGATTGTATTTTTCAAAATACTCCAAAAGAATTTAGCTCTTTAGTGTTTTAAAAATCAGGTGTTTAACTCTCTCACTGAAAGAAACAGAATCTTATTTTCAAATTGCCTTTAAAGTATTTTGTTAAGAGAACTGGCTTGTACATCCACTAGAGACAAGAATGAAGAAAGCCCTTCATGCTGGACTGGAGCCTACACCAGAAGTCATGTTCTTGATATGGCTCAACTGAGAATTTGGAAAAGCACCTAACAGTTCAGAGCTTAAGTTACCATTGTGCTCCATCAGTTAACTCTACTGAGAACAGCCACATGCAAAGTTCAAGCCACAGCACTCACTTTGTTGTCTCCTCCTGACACAGCAAGAATGTTTGCAGTAATAGACCAGCTAACGTGCCAGACTACATCATTGAACTTGTGCAGCAATTTTGGTGACCATGAATTTCCAGAGGCATCATCACAAGTCCAGA